CTCTCGCTCTCACTCTCTCTCTCTCAACATTTCCTCGCGCGACGGCTTATAATTTCTAATGGGTCCTCCTCCTTCTCCACCCCCCTCTTACTGTTTTTTTGCTGCCGATGTTTTTTTTTCTTTTTTCAACTGACATCGGCCATGCCGGTGCGAGCGGCAATAATTTATCTGGATCGGAGCCAGTGGCGACGCTGAGACGCGTGTGCGTTGGTGGCTACAGGTAGTGAAAGAAAATAATAACAAATAGAAGAAGAATGAAAGCGACATATCAGTGGCAAGTCCAATACGCGAGGATGGATGGTTGATGGTTGAGTTCGCGCCCTGTTTTCATCCTCAAATGGAGAGCAATAAAAAAGATATTAATCATTTTTCAATCACACGTGTCACTTCAATATATTTCATTCTCGAGATAAGATGTTCATCTTTTAAATCCTCTTTTTTCTCCTGTTTTATTTATTTGCGTATCGCCTTTCTTATCTGTGATATAACATGACTACATCAAATAGCCACAAAAGACATTGATCTACAAAACCATGCCGTGTTTATGAATAAGTTGAAAAAAAACAGAACATTTTATTTTCAAACGTAAAAGTTTTATTACCTCATCATTAGCATTAGCATTATTATTATTATTATCATTATTATCATTATTGCTAATTTCATTGATATAAATAGTTGTTCGTTTGTTTCAGTACTTAAAATTTAACCGAGAGCACACAGTGATGTATAAATATTTGATAAACTCTCGAGGGGAGGGAGGGAGGCAAGACAATTGAAAAGGTATGAGCAAATTTTTTTCATTTTCTTCCCTTGGAAGTTGATCATTTTTATTTTTACATATACACATGAATAATATAACGATTCTCCTTCCTGTTCCGAGATGAGCAGGCCACAAACAAAACAGATGAATGAATTTAGAAACTATAGGTAATATCATTCCTCCGATCCTTAGCTAATTCAGTTCAATCACATTGTTTTGATTAACCTGATTCTTTAAACCTATACAAACTCCATCGAATATGTCCGTTACAACGGTCATCATCATATTTCAATAGAAAATGTTTTCCGCATTGTCAAGGCACAACTGTTTCTCGCCACCAAAAATTTATCCCACTTTTCATCTCATGCGCATTTCTCAGACCTAGAAAAGTTAATGATCGTTCTCACCATCATTAATAAATAATGTTAACTTAAGAGAGAATTGCTGACAGGATTCACTGGAGGATTGTGAAATTTTTCATATTCCATTTTTCATCGGTTCTGATGCAATCCTAGGCTACGACATAATTTATAAATTAAGGTACAAAATCATCATCGAATTGAAGACTATGTCTCAAGGTATCAACGAGAAAACATTTTTTTTTGTCATTTTTACTTCAATTTATTTTAATTCAATTTCTTCGAGTAAAAAAAATAATTAAGTAGTAGTGAAGAAAAGAGAGAATAACAAAATAAATAACAGAAGTTTTAAACATGAGAAACTACTTAACAACTTATTTAAGTTTAATCAAGAAATAATAATAATAATAATGATAATTAATTAATAACTAAACAGGAGTACTTCAAATGATTCATAAATCTTCAGATATGGCGAATAACTGAATATTCGCAATCATACTATAATTACAGAAAGCATATATTTCATATAAATTCCGTTTTTGTCTGGCACGTTTTTCTCATACTCTGCCCGAAGACATAAACGTAATCCTCCCCTTTTCAGTTAAAAATTCTTTTAATCGGCATACTCGTTCAACGATTGATTAATAAGTCTAAAGGCAAGTAAAATGGCAAAATAAATTGACAGTTTACCGATCGATCTTTCAGTTTAATCCATCATAATTTAAAGAAAAAAAAAATTCTGATATACAAAAATATCGAAATACATGTACGAAAATGGACGTCATAGAATTTTTTTCCCCCTTTTCTTTGTGGGGTATTTGAAGAAATGGCCACCAGTCATCAATTTTATATGATTGAACGCCTCATTATTCTATAAACTTGCGGTGGACTCAACAACTCAAAGATTCATATGTAACAGACAAAAATCATACCTTAAGAGGAACATAATAATGAAAACAAACAACAAACAAACACACTTTCTTAACAACTAATATTTCATCCACCTGTTTATAGTAATGTAAAAAAAATATTCAATCTCGCAGGCACGAATGTGGCTAACTCAACGTGTTAAGTTTTTTATAATAATACTAATAATCTTCGATTCATAATTTCAATGTTACATTGGTATCAGTTGAACGATTAACAACCCGCTAGTCAATTCTTTTTTCCGACCTCTAAACAGATTAAATTGAACCGATTTAGTACAATTTAGTACTATTAAAAAAATAACCGAAAAGAATGAAATAATTTGGCACTGTTTATGAAAAAATGTTACATTAAGAGCACATACGTGATATTACATGGATTTATAGAGTGAGGTAAGAATAATTTCATTCGGAAAATTACTTTCTGGGGGAAAAAAAGAGAAAAAAAGGGGGGGAAAGCCACTCAATGGAAGTGAATTTCTAAAAATAGGCTAGAGAGATGGAAATTATTATGTTGAGTAAATATTACAATTGGCGTGGAATGAATGTTGACATTCTCCGGCACTGGCGACGACAATAAAAAGATAAAAGTTATAATGAACGATGAACCGGTGAAAGATATACATGGGGATAATACTGTTTGGCCGTCTATCTGCCGCGGACGAACACAGGTGGGGGGCAGTCTTCGGATGGGATTTTATTAATTTTATTAAACCCTCAATAATTGTTATTATGAAAATTTGGAATTTGTATAATTCATAATGACGTTGACACGGAAGGATTGAGTAGAGCGTACTCGACAAAATGAGCAGATTGCTGTTCGGATGTCAAGGGATTTGAAATATAAATGAAATATTTGGGAATATTAGCGTCTACTCAGTTTTGAGATTGGACATAGAGTCAATGGGATAAGTAGGACTTTCTAGATCAGTAGATTCAGATTTAGTCTGTCCATCAACGTATCTAGCGTGAGTCCTTAAATGCCTCGTAATCATATCTCTCCTGCAGGCAGCGTACACACACTGGGGACACTTGTATGGTTTTTCACCGGTATGAGTCCTTTGATGGGTACTCAGATGATCAGATCTACTGAAAACCTGACCACAAACTCTGCAAGTATAAGGTTTGATGCCGGTATGGAGTCTCATGTGTCGCGTCAGCATATCCGATCTTGCAAAACTCCGATTGCAAACGTCGCACCGATATGCTTTTGCTGATGCATCTCTTGGTCCTTGTCTCCTGTGCCTCGATGCCATGTGCTTGGCCAATCTATCGTGTAAACTAAACATTTGTCCACAAACTGGGCAAACATATGCAACATCAGCACCAGGGGGCATCTCTTCGACAACTGGAGAAACTTCCAAATTGTATCTGAAGGCAACACTCTCCTTGGTAGTTGGCGATGCAACATCGCCCCGTACAACTGGTACACTGACCGATCCACGTGTTACAACTCCGGTAACACCAGATGGTAATAGCTGGAGGGCTGCTGGCCGTTCTACTGATGAATTTTTCATTGAAAGATCCAATGGTGATTCTTGAGGACTAGTGGTGTTATCACTCTCCAATGATCCACTCCCTGGTGTATGTGATCTTGACCAAAGTGCTTTTTGATCCCAGCCTGCACCAACATCTGAATCTGAATGACTACGTTTTCTCTCATCAGGTGTAGGCAGGTACTTTGTATGAAGATATTGTTCAAAGCTATATGATAATGGAGAAACTGGCGTCAACGGTGTGAAATTTAAGGGTGTCATAGGTGTTTGTGGCGATGTTGGTGAAGGTAGCATTACTGTATTTGTCGTAGAACAATTTATACAACTGCAGCCTGGAAATTTCAAGGGCACTCGATGATGATGATGATGATGATGATGATGATTATTATTATCTCTTTGAAGACTTATTGGAAGATGGTGCTTATTGTAGTTTGGACCAATTGTCAACCTGTCTTCACTTTGTGATTCCAAATTCTCTAATGGCTCCAAATCATCTAGAAGTTCTACTGGCTCATCTTTGAGATTTTTCGATGAAAATTGACTTGGAAGATCGACAGATCTTGGTGAACCAAAAACATCTTCTTCTTCTTCAGACACCAATGAAGTTGATTCGAATCTGTTGGAACTAGTTTCACACTCGTTGGGAGGATTTTTATGCGCTTGAAGATCATCCAGAACTTGATTGAGGCGTCTTCGTTTGCGCAAAGCTCGATGATTTCGATTCGCAGTTGCAGCTAATGTATTATTATTCGTACAGGAGGGAGGTGGCGGCTTTGCTGGACCCGGGGGCGCGGCCGCGGCGTCCTCCACGACGCTCTCGGCCATCGTCATTGATGATATGCGGCACCCGCCGCCTGGGCCCTCTGTACCGCCTATCACACCCCCGGCTACCACCGTACTGGCTCCCGTTTCCTCCTGCAACAGACAGATCATCATAAATTTACCATACTGTAGCATGTTTCATTTTTCTTTTTTTCAGTCAAGAATCAATCAGAAAATTATTTTTTAAAAATATCGTAACGTGTTGTGTGTTCCAAGGCAGAGGCATCTCAGTGCCCAAATGACAACAGCACTTGGTTATAATATCTCAACAACTTTCCGCGGATTTTGCTGTGGTATTCTTATTTTGAATACTCCTCTCGTCGAGAGTTGTTTTTTTTTTTCTTAAGGAAACAGTGAATAAATTAACCGCTGGGATAATATTATCATTATTATTTTTTGAATGGATAATCAGTCCTTGGAAGTGTTTTTGTAGTCATTTAATTGATATTAATCGCTCCATTTTTTATATAACGGTACTTGCGGTCTCTCTTAAATATCTGCGCTTCGAATATTTGTATAATTAGCAAATTCTGAATAACTTTGTCATATTTTGAATCAATGATTCGGGAATATTCTGCATAATCGATTAGTTTTGTCTAATTATTGACGCTGATTTGTTCCAAGAGTATCATATCAAAATCGGGAATAACCAATTAGTGTGATGCGATGCTTTCAATTGAATTTTTAACAAGTTACTATACGCTTCATTTTCCCGCTGGCTCCTTTTCTGTAACCATCGATTTGGCTTTATACCATCGCCAAGCGCCGCGAGAGAAGGGAGAATGCTTGGATGATAACCCGCCGTAAAACAGTATACGTAGTGAGAAGAGAGAGAAGAGATGAGAAGGGGATTTGTGCCTACTCGTAAACACGTATCTGAAAAGATGCCATGGAAGTTAAAGCTTTATGGAGAAACAGGTCTTTTGGTGTGGGCGTTCACACTTGTTGCCGAGACTCTTCCATGCCACGCAAGAGTACATTTATTTTTGTCTATGTCTTTTCAAATCATCTCTCAATAATCCAGTTGTGAGAAAGGAGAAAAATGAAAAAAAAAAAAAAAAAAGAAAATATTTCCTCAAGGAGAATTGAATGTGGAAGTTGAAAAAAGTATTCTAAATTGCAATTTCTACGATGTCGAGTGCGGAGAAGGAACACGAGGATTAGTAGTTGCGGGATGAGTAAAAGAATACCTATGAGAAGCACCTGTAACCAGGCGTCTCTTGGCCGCAGCCGGGATGAGGTAGAAAATAAGAACGAGACAAGGTGGAACAGGTTGAGACAGGAATCTCGTGAGCGTAGGTGGAGCGGCGGTTGATCTTTCTTGTGGGTATACCACCACCTCACATGTATACGAAATTCTAATGATGCATCAAATGGAAGTTGAATTCATACAAGTTGTGAGGGAAAATTAAAAACTGTAGCACAATGTGTAAATCATAATGATAAATCTGGTGCAGTGCGAGCTCGGTAAAATTGATGTGGATTTTCCAGTCACTTGACTACCATCCATGTCTAGGCCGCACCATCGTGTCTCGTTAACGTAGTGAAGAACGGCTTCCAGGTAATTTTACACTGTTACTCTTTTCCTTTGCTCTCTACTCTCTTTTGTAGCACTTTCTACGAAGCTCAAAAAACCAAGTGCGAAGCAAAAGGCACTATAAAACCTTTTTTTTTCTTAACAAAAACAAAAAGACTAATGACACGATAAATATAATTCTTTCACTTGCTATTATGATATTATTTTTCAGCACAACGTCATTTGAAATATTACACATATCTATCTGATGTGGTTACTGCATGCACTGAGTGATTATAGCGTCTTCAGTAATAAATGACGATTTACATTTGCTCTTATGATCAATGGTCGAGCTTAGTCGCTGCGTAAATTAACCGCCCCCGCCGCCCATATGTGATTGAAATTGCAGAAGTAACATTAGCACATTTGCTAAATTTAAGCAAAAAAAAATGTCATTTCTTCATTCTATATTTAAAAGCATCAATTCACACTCTAAATAGAGATCCAATTATAATTATATATGGAGATTGCGTTTCTAATGGATAACAAATTCATTGACATTGCTCTTCACTGTATAGAGTAGTTCACCAAAGACTAATGATAATAATAAAAAGGCAGTAGTTCGATCCCATTTGTGACTCGACGGAGACTCAAGTGTGTAACAAGGGCTTTCTATAGCTAACGCACACCCGTGAAAGTTAAATGCGCGTGCAATCCACGTTTCGCGCTTAATTCTTCCACGAATTCGCTACCAGTGAGGAGAGAGACCCCAGTGAAATCCCACATACCATACAGTTTACCGTTCGAATAAGATGAACAGTTCTTCGCCGATTTCAGGAAGGTTGATCCATAAGGATTCGAAATTTTAATTCATCTACTGGGATGAGAGAGAGAGAGAGAGAGAGAATACTATATTAAATAACACCATCGATTTTAATTGAATCTTGTCAAATATTTCCTGTCTTTATGCACCTGCCTTCGTTCCTTTCGGAATCGTCTTAGGTATTGATTTGACAAGAATTTTCATTTGTATAACATAAATGGAGGATCAACTGGCGGGAGCTTATTATATGTAGCGGCTATATACAAGACGACGTTGTGAGGCAAGTTTTTATCACATCCGCCATCTGCCGACCGCTCGTCATTACCGCGTTAAGTAGTAATCCTTCTTCGGAGCTCCTTGATAAATATAAAGAGGAAAAAAACACTGAAATAAAAAATGATTATCAAGTTTGTGAAGAAAAAGACAAAAAAAAAGAAGGAAAATTGAACAATAGAAGGGAGAAAAGGCATAAATGTTAATAGAAGGTAGAGGAAAAGATTTTCACGCTGTGCGGCCACCCTAATGCTTATGGTACGTACTACAAATTGTCCAGTCTTTTACCAGGGCATCATGAAGTTCAGCAAGTTGCACTTGCATAGGCGCTCCTGCAATAATTGTCGCATAAAATGGGCGCATTATGGCGTTATACTCTGGAAAATTACGACGCTACAGAGGAGAGGTTGGCAGATGCATAGTAGAAGCAGTGAAGCTGCAAGTGTATATTATATTCAAGTTATGGCCCATTTACGTATGAGAATTTTGAATTAAGTCAGAGAAAAGGGGTTTAGAAGATCCCAATTTCAATCATGATGGGAATGTCACAAGATTTCAAAATTGATACTTGGCTAGAGAATAACATACAATATATACAAACATTTAAATCAATGGGAACAAGACATGAGAGATATGAATGAATTAAAAAGGAAAAAATAACTTCCGGAATCTGGGTTAGCCACTTCCCAGAATGAGGGAGATTAAATTCGAAGGACAGAGTAATTTAGTATTCCATATTTTGCGGGATATTCGGGAGATGTATTTATTTAGAAGAAAGAATAAAAATAAAAATAAACAAAAGAGTTGACAGACTCTCGTCAATTTTCTGGATGAATGGCATGAGAGGTACGGCTTATAATGATTGTCCAATCGATTGGATGTAAGTAAGAGAAGGGCAACCCAAGGCTGTAAATGTCAGAGGCGTTATAGTGGAAAGTCCGATAAAGTGAGAGAAGGTAAAAAGACAGTAGCGGGGGAGGAAAACTACGAGGAGAGACGCCACGCTGGCTAGTAATACGTACAATACTATAGTTGGCATCCCTGGCTACCAATCGATCGAGCGAGCGCCTTTTGGAAATGACGCGTGAATCTGGTCTGGTATGATGTAAATATATAACGATAAAATATTCAAGAAGCGTCCGTTGGTTGAGAAACTCAGATTTACAAGAAATAAAATTAAAATGGAAAAAAATTTATTGCCGGTGTATTATTTACTGAAAGAAGATGCCGAAAGAGGCTAAAGGTGACTTCAAAGTTTGTAGTACAAACGAGAGGAAAAAAGAAGCCGCGTTGAGGATAAAAAATAAATATAAAAAGTTTGAAGAAGAGGAGAAGGAGATAAAGAAGAGGATCCGTGGGTGGACCAGCATTGCTGTGTCTCTTTCTCGAAAAACCGCTTTCTTTTTCCACTTGGGTAACAGGTGCGCGCTCCAAGACCTTGGGTCTTGACTTCAACTCGGCCTGATGTGATCGCTAATAAAATATCTTTTTCACTATTCATTCATCTATTCATCAACAGATGAAATTATTGAGGCTAATCTATTCAAGTATTTTCTTTTTTTTTTTTTGTAGAATAGAGCGATACAGTTTGTTTGTGTCGTAATCAATTATTATGACCGAGAACAATGAAAAGTATTGGACAAAGGGAAAAGAAAACAAATGATAACACCACCAGTGGGAAATTTAGACGAGTACTGGCGGCGGGTCAGCTTTAATACTGTTACAGTATGTTGCTGCGGTTAGTATTCGAGTGGATGCCAGCGCCCCTGGTACGACCTCGAACTTGAACTCACGGAGGGTAGTGAAGATCGATACTGGCCACGCGCATCCTCTGACCTATATACACAGAATCCCGCCGGGTCGTTTGTCGATTGCAGTTTTCCCTCCTCTCAAGTTTCTCTGGATATTTCATATTTCTTGGCTCTCTCACATTGGCGAAAAAAATTAGATTATCAGTGGAGGGAAAACATTTTACTATTATATTCGAACAATGCCAAAAAAATTATTAAAAATTGTATAACTCGTCGTTTCAATGAATATTATAAACAATTGAATAACAATGACGAGGTGACAATATTGATTTTATCATCAGCCACACTGAGAATCATGGTTTCACCGCACTTGTACCTATAGGTCGACCGCATTTTATGTACTTCAAGAGCCCCATCAGGAGATGTATAATACATGATACATGTGATTCATGGCCAAGGTCGAAAAATAGTTAATATTCTGAGACGATAAAATTTGAAATGACCCGATGCATGTATTTATTCATTGTTTCAACTCTCAAACTGATAACCCCCTATTGGAATTTTTGCTCGCGTTTCCACTGAATAAATCCTTAAGGTAAAAAAAACTAGCAAAGCCACAAACTCTTTATATACAAACATATATCCTATCTATATAAATACTTGTTTTGAGTTGAACACGCGTGAGACGAAAGAAGCCTGTCCTGGTGACTTTACGCAAGCGCGTGTATACACCATCAGACTTTCTACGCGGTCCACAGAGGTTTTAAAAGAA